CGAAGACAGTTTCAACGCGTCGATGCGAAGATCGTTATGACGTTTGTAAAAAAATACTTCACTGTTCGTAAACGCATTTGTTTATCGACGCGAAGCGACGTGAAGTATTAATGCAAACCATTCGGCAAATTGCACGATAATTTATTTAACAAGCAATTGGACTTTAATCATGAAATCGCTATATCGAGATCATATATTATCGGTGTTCAAAATTTCATAGAATTTTGAAAAAACTTTCGGAAATTGATGGAGATCATTTATGTGCTAAAACTTATCTTTTATTTCAGATTTCGATGATATTCCTGAAATTATACTGCGCCAATATTTTGACGATATTGTTACGCAACATATTATTCGATAAAGTTTAATCGCGCTCTCATTGCGGTACGTGCGTTATACGTTTCCGTTTCGCGAATTCGTAATTAAATCGGATCATAGAACGAACTTTCGAATTCATACTGGTCATTCCGTCTTTTTTTTCTCCTCCCCCGACTGTCACACCGGCTGCTGGTCAGCCTCGTCGTTCACCGCGAGTTCTAATTGTTCTCCGGAGAACAATTAATGTTCCGCACTGCTGGGAATCGTTAACGCGATTACTAGTACGTCTGTGTTTCACGAAGCGCGGGTGAATTTCAGAGTGTACGTGTGTTAGTAGAGTCACCAGTCATCGGTGCGTAATCAATTTCTCCGGCGCGACAATGGCCGAAACGTAATTAATCGCTGCTGGAAATTTCAAGGGAATTCGCCTCCTCCTCGCGAACTATTATCTACTTCTTCTTAACACCGTCACATCGGCACGTTGTAAAGCATAATACGTCCTTCGAGTGTAATTAACCGCCTAATCACGAGTTATGGCGCGCTCCCCGTATTCGCGATCAGTTTCGCTCGCGCAACTTCGTTTCGCTAATATCATTTTTGATTGTATAAACGCCACTCATTTGCAAATGATATTATCAACAAGTGACAACGTTCATTTATAATGAACAAAATAACGAACAATACGCCCGCAGTGATATAATAATATTCATATCACTAATGATATTAATTATATTATGTAGTATTTATACAATTATATACGAAACATATGTATAACCGGCAGTGTGCGTATAAGTATTTTTGCACCGTAAACAGAAAAAGTTTCTTTTTCTACGCAAATCTATAAATGCAAATAAATGCAAGTTTTTAAGGTTCGGCAACCTCAGCAAAAAGTCGTCTAATATATCTAAAACATTTGCATAGCATATTTCACTAAAATATTGAATTGCGCGAGCCGCACGATCCGTCACGGTAGTACCGTCTTGAATAACAGTAAACGTGACGGCCGATGAATACGAATAGAATGAGTTATCGCAACGTGGTATTGCACTTTCGCGACGGCTCTTCTTTTCCCCGCGCCGCCGCGCGTTTCTTCACGGACGGACTTTAAAATTGATAAAATACGACGTTAAGCGTATACGATTACCGTCATGTTTACTCCATGTCTCTCACATGTAAATTACATCGTACGCGATGTGAATTATGCTCAGATAAAACTGTCTTATGTAATATTGTCTTATTAATTACATATCAAAATGCAGAAACAAATTGACGAATTAAATTGTAGAATACTAAACAGCTCAGTAACTAACGCAAAGATTTGGCAATAAAAGAAATGGAAATTAAATAAAGATCAGATAAAATAGATAAGAAATATTTTACGTAAAGACTTTACGTCAAAACTTTAATTTAGTCTGTGATTTTTTTTACTACATAAAAGCTTCCTTGCGACATTGGGCTGTTTTTTATTCTAAAAGAATAACTCACTATCTATTTTTCGAATCGTTACTCTTTCCATAGCAATCAGTTATTTATTTCGAGCTAGTAGCGTAACTAATTATCGCATATGTTTCTACAATGAACATTTAAATTACAATATCCGTATTTGATCCTGCACACACAAAACTCCATAATAAAATCTTTGAAAATAGCCTTACTCTCAATGTTGTTCGCTTCGTGCGTCCAACACGAGAGTCAAATGCCGTGAAATCATATCGTGAGCGTGTACATACGTGAAGTGCGCTCAAAGTAAATCCCTGACGCGGAAAGAGCAGCAGATCGCTACGAAACGTGCATTACTCGGCGATAAAACGTTTTGCATTGTGGTACGCGTGAGAATATGTAAACAACAATGTAACAGCGCGAAGACATGGCAGAAGTTTACTCCGTGGAAGTTTGAGACATGTCGCGTCGGATCGGAGAAACGCGGGCGGCGGCGACGAAATGCGCTCGTCGGGAGAAAATATAATAGAAGAGAAAGAATGGACGAAGCGGAGTTTATGCGCGTGGAATTGGCCATAAACGGATACGCGATATGAGGCATCGAATGACGTAAAACGACCCGCCATGGCCGACGCGCCATGGCTGACCCGTAGGTGAAAGGTGTTCCTCCGAGCTTCGCCCGCGGCGACACGCAATTATTTCTGTCTTTTAGTAGCTTAGATATATAATAACGGTTATTATTATTTATTATTTATTATTAACACGTACGATAATAATTAATCGCGATGCCTCCTACGTTCGTCTTTTCGCGCGACCTTCGCGGATAAAATTAACATCCTACACCACTGCGATCCACGATTAAATTTTACGATATTACTTTCAGCGGCGTATTATTCCCGTGACGCTTTGTATCGCAAGCGGCCGACACGTTTGATAATAACTAAACGCGCGCGCTCGTTCGACGTTTATATTGCAATTTTACAATTGTATAATTATCCACACGTGCGCGCGAAGAAGAACACGTACTCGAAGTGTTACATAAAGAAAGCTCTGACTAGTTTTTTTTTTTTTCATTTCTGCGACGCCGTTTATTATCGCGGGACTTCCACGTATTGCATAAGCGGCGCATTGCGAAAACTGTGCCGACATTGTTTAATCGTCGCCCGCGCCGGACGACACTTTTACGACGCGTTTAAGCACCGTTTATAAACGCATTAAATAAACGCTCTTTTTGCAGATTCTATCGCGCGCCTTGCGGACGCGTTATTAACGCCGCGAAATGCCGCTGTGAAAATCTCATTAAGCGATGTCATTGTTTCGCGGACACCGCGATCGCGTCTACCTTTGCGTTCGATAAACGCACAAATATGAGCCAAAAGCCGGATGCTGCCTGAAGAGACGGCACGATTTATCGTTCCGCTTTTCACGCACATTAAACGCACCATTTTCACGCGAAATATGTATATTCCGTTATTATTCGCGAATTTTTTTTTCGCCGAGGAAATGGAGTGCTCACCTCGCGCCGAGAATACAGGCTGAATCATTCCTAATTAAGCGTCCGACCAGGTGCCTTTTTCGACAGGCAAAAACACAATTTTCCCACTGTGAATACTAATTGGAAAGCCGGAAATGAAATTCTTCGCAGGATTCGCCCGATGCGTTTAATTGCGCCAATTCGCAATAGCGCGAGGATGGGCAGAGCGGGCGGGCAGCTAGAGATAGGTCCATGGTGGAAAATTGGGTTACGGCGGTTTCGATTCGATCTGCTCTCGTGCGAGCGCTCATTATCCAACATTATCCCGGCCGACCTGCACTCGCTGCGCGTGGCACAATGACAGATCGCGCAGTCGATTGCCTCTCTTCCGCGACTGTGCGGTTCTGTAATTTATTTAAGCGCCAGCGAGCACGCGCACCATCATCGCTCGACACGAAATTTCGACTGCTAACTATCGAGAGGCACGGCGGGCGCAATTAACCACATATACTAGTAGCAGTAATAGTATCATTTAATCCCGCGTTTCACGATACTGTGCTTAAACACCAAAAACAAATAATTATACGTATAGTTAATTGAATACAAATATAAGCACGCACAAAATGACGAAGGATAGAAAGACAGAAGCGTAATACGGTAAATTATAATATAAATGTTCACATTGCTGTGCACAGTATTTCGAGTATTTTCCGTTCATAAAATGTCTTTTGAAAATTCCCGAGTGATCAAGTGATGTTTGCATAATATTCTTCGACAGTTATTGATTTAATTTTCGAAGACAAGAGATAAACTGGGAGAAGTGAACGTGTATTTCAAATTGATTTTCGAATCAACGCAGTTTTATATGTACATCACGAGTACATTGACAGGAATGTTAAAATCAATTGCTCAATTGCTGAGCGATGTCGAGGCGCGATTATTGATTCAATAGGTACCACCCGTGCACAGAGTAGCAAATTGTACCTTCGTAGTTACGAACGTACAAATTGCGGCGCGCCGTATCAGCCGCCGCCGATAAGCCATCGTTGCTGCGCGCGGCCGATTAGCATAATTCCAGAAATACCGGAGTCATTCTGGCGCACGTGATACCGTTCCGGCGATAGCGGCCGAAGAGCGAAAGCGCACCTGCACGCGTACGTTATGCGCCTAAACGCGCTATAATGCGCAAACTATTCCGAACGCGGGAAATTCCGCCGAGTTGGATATATGTACCGTTTTTACAGCGGTATTATTTCATCAATATTCCGCTTATATGAGATCGCCGAAATAAACTGGACATTTTGTTGAGCACGCGTGCCTCCGATTTAACTCGCTCAAAGCTTTTCACGCATTAGCCGTTTACTTAGAATTCAGATATTTCATTGAAAAATATATATAATTTGTTATCTATTCAAAACTTTAATTATCGTACTAATTTGTCAAAGTCTTTTGATCTCGATGCGGAATAATTTTGTAATTATGAATACCTCGTTATTAAAATAACTGTCATTAATTGACGTATTTTTAACGCCCTTGATAAGTCATCCGATGTTTTCTTGATTCATTCTTCTATCATAGAATAATTATTGACGCGCAATTAATGTTTCCCAAGAAGCATCAGATGTTGTAACGTTTCGCTCGACAGTTAATTAAATCGTTCTATCATTTTTTACGTACTTCGCGATAAATATACGTCATCGGTAGCGATTAACGTATTCTTAACTGCAAATCAAGCGAATACGATAATACGAGTAATGCCGCCACATACCTGGTTGTTTGCAGGAGACATCGTTTAATCCGCCGCTCGTCCGTCGTGAAAGTGAGTCGACAGCGACGCCGTGGCATTATGTCGTTTGACGTAATTAGCAGCTCGTCATTAATTCCCGCCACTCGTACGCGCACCGGGATGCAGGCGGGTGCATTCTACGAAAATAGCCGTCTCTGGAAAAACAAGGGAAATATGCGGGTGAAAATAAAATTCAGAGAAACGGGAAAATGTCAGCGGCGCGAATGCGCGCAAGGCTAATTGGATTTATTGCCTTTCACAATAACCGCGCACACTGATGAAAAGATAGGGAGCAGAAATCGCGGAGGTAAGTGCTTGTCATGTAAGGGTGAAATATCGTCCGAAATGGCCTGTAGCTCGGCAATAATCGCTGACATAGGCTCGTACGACGTTGATTTATCGTCAGTTAAGCATATATACCGGCGACTAATATTTTTTTTTCACGGACGTCTAAGGCTCCCCGTGGACACGCTCGCGGTCCTAATGTCTGCCAAAATCCTACGACGATTGCGCACTACGAATTTTGACGTAAGGTTATACGTCACAATCGTCGCACACGCGTATCCGATCGCGCAAGCTCGACCGCAAACACGGAACGAGACACGGATAAGCATTCGCGCGACAGTTAAAACGCGTGAACGCGATAACATTTACGTAACCCCGTTTTCTTCGCGTCGTCTTATCCTTGATGCCGACGGTGCATCTCTCGTAACATGTGTCGCGGTTGTCATATCTCATTTCACGATTCGCCGACGTTGAACGGTCTACTTTTTTTTTTACGTCTTTTCTCTTGAGCGGAATATCGAATTTTTGCGCTTGACATTTCCGATCTGTGTACTTATTACACATTTAGCGCTGAGTGTGCCGTTCTGAATATTTCCAGTGAACGGCATTGATAACGGATAAAAATCAGACAGCTACATTTAGCGTAAAATGTTTACGATTAAAAATATATATCGGACTTCTTAGCGCAGATACATTTCATCCAAATTTGCCCTTTATACTTTTTTTATTTTTAAAAAACCGATTGCCTCACAATATTTCACTCTTCGCCGTACGTCGATTTCGTATCGCGGAATCAAATTCGTAAATATGCAACTGGAGCGGCGGTGGCTGACAACATTCAATTCCGTCCCGTCTGTGCGGCGCTTATTGGCCGCCATTCGAATTTCCCCGGATGCCGCGAATTCGTCCTCGTTTCCTTTTATTTGCATGCACACATCGCAGCAATTTCTCGCGTTTACTCGGCGTCGCCGTTGCGCCTCTCGCGCGTATACATCTCGAGCGAGATATTCGCGCCGGATTTCCGTCTGCCGATCGGAAATTGTTTCGCTGAAGCTTCACACGACGATGCCAATGAATAATTGCCGTACAATACCGACGGACGAAAAACTTTCGAAATCATCAACGTGATGCAAAAATAAAATCTTTTCTCTCTCGTGCGCGCGCTTTCGCGCGGCAAAGTGCCGCATGCGACAAGAACGAGGAGAGTCATTAATAGTCACTATCACGTTGCCACGTTGTCGGCCCTTCTAATCAGCTCCTCGGACCGAGTTAGTTACTTCGCCGAAGTCTGTAATCAACGCTTCCTCTACCGGCGGCCACCATTAAGCAGGTACCGTCAGGACTCGTCCAAAAGTAATAATTACGACATTCCGCTGGGGTTCAATATGCGAGGCTACGGTGCGGATTTTGTGTACATAAAAGCGCACGAGTAATTCCGTAGCATCTTGGCAAGAAACTCGCGAAGGGGAATATTATTTTATTAAAATGAGTAAACGGGCGAACGCTTAAAGAGTCATTTAGCTAACTTGAAGAGAACTTTGAGACCCTCTCATCACTGTTTATTAACTAATATGATTAATATTTGGTTCAGCTTTAAATATCCCATGCACAGCATAATGCTTCTCCCTCCCACGAAAAATAAGCGTATTTTTAACGTAATTTTGCAGAGCATCTCCAAATGTCTCATTAACTTTCCTCTAAAACCTAGAAAATCAAGAAACTATAAAGAAATTATCACTGAAACACTGAAATATTTTCACATTAGACACAAAGTGCAGCCAGTTAAAACCACATTTCCCGTGTAAAATTTAGTAAAGCTGCTAAAATTTACTTCGTCAAATAATACCATTACGTGGGATGGGGAGGGGGGGAGGGGCATGTGAGAGAAAAGGCAGAATAAACTGAATTTAGTCGACCAATCGTAATTTCAAGCAATCCCAAAACGCCGTTAGGACTTTGTCTGGGTTATTTTGCTTTTCCGGGCGAGCACAGTCGCGCGACGGCGCATGTAATTTCCCATAGAGATTAACATGCAAAACTACACCCACTAAGCGCCGTGTCGCCTAGATAAGCAGATACATACATTAAAATGCTAATTATTTCGGGAGCGTGTCGGGGGACGCGGTGATAAAAGTAACAAACCCGCCGCCACTCTCGCCACCCGACCGTGCCTGCCGACCCTCATTAGAACGTGACCCGCGACGCCCCGCTCGGCTCGCTTGTCCTAGTCCGGCGACTTCTGTTCTGCACGACCACTTTGAATTCTAAAGTGCCCTTCAGCGAAGAATTCCCGCGCCAAGGAAAGCAGGTGGCGAAGAAGAAAAGTTCAGAATTATTTTCATCAACAGAGAATTTCATACTCTTATTCCATATTTTTAATTTAGATAAAAACTTGCTATTAATTAAAATAACTGACGGATATCAATGTTACATTCGAAGGTATAAAAAGCATAAAGAGCCTTGTAATAATGAGAATACATTATTCATCAAAAACATTCAGACTAATATTCTACAAAGTAAAATGTTAGAGAGATTTAAAATGATTTTATCGTCGATTTTTTTAATAACCACTGATTGTAATTCTAAAATTAATTAAAATTATTAATTATCAACTTATAATATTGTTATTTCTCTCGTTTATATAAAAATAGTGGTACATTTAAGCAATATGTCGTAATTGCAATGCATTCCTATCTTGCTACTCGGAGATTACAAAAAAATGTAATATAACGTGCCGCAACTAAAAGGTTAATAAGCGCGCTGCGCGTATTTTAATTATTGTGCTGCTCATTATCGGGCGGGCTAGTTTGTTTTGCGCAACGATACCGATTATTAGCGGATCTCGTATTTCAATGTATAATTATCGCTCGGTAAATGGTGAACGCGTGTGCGCGCACATCTGCAAATTCATTCACCGTAGCCGGTGTTTCGGCTCGCAAAATTATGATATCCACATTCAACGACCATTTAACGACCGCGCCCGCCCGCCCGTGCTAGAAAGTGCACAGTAATCTGAAAGAACCGAGTGACCTCTTTTGATAATAAATATGGAGTTTCTGATAATCTGCACGACACATGAAAGCGATGAGTGGTATCAAACAAAGCTGCGTTCACACTGCGATCGATCTTAATTTTCTTAACATTTCCGAACATTCTTCAGAAATGCATTAACGTGACTTTAAATTCAATCATTTTTAATTTAATAAATTTTCTTTTTCAAAATTGTTGATATAATTACTTAAATTTTTTTAAAAGGTTTGAAGGCAAAGGATGAACAGATTTAGAAGACGCAAGATTGAACAAAGTATAACGCGGCAATGGCGATTGCAAGTCTCCCAAGCTTTTCGACGTCGATCTAAGTTTTAGGAGATTTTTCATTAAAATGCGCCCAGCGAGGTAAAAAAAAGCCATTCGGTTTAAGGCTCGCGAACGCAATGATGCCGCCACGTAGTTTGCCAGTCCTCTTAAAGCGCTCACTCTCGTTTACCGAATGGAACGGAGTGGATCGCGCAGTGTGTACGCAGATTAACGAACCGTGCTCGGCTTCCTTCCGCCTCGTGGGGTCGCTTAAGAACCTGTTTGCGTGCACGCGGACCGATAGCTTCTTACGGGGCGATGGCGGCGGCAAGACGGAGCTTGAGAGAGCCCGGGTAACGCATTAATTCAAACCAAACATAATTACCCATGTAAACGATCGAGGAACCGTAACTACTATAAATACGTCTATCAGTTGTAAATACACCACGCATCTACCAGCCTCGATTCTTCGAGCGGTCCATCCTTATTTCGTATCTCTGCCTGTCAGACGATAGTATCTTGAAACGTTTGATAAATGAGAAAACTGGTTTTACTAGTTATCATTAAGTCATATCCGCAATATACAATATAGTTTGATGAGAGTAATATTTTCCTATTAATTCCACGGAATAAGAAATTTGAATAAACTTCAGCTAAGAGCATTAAATTTTCTTTCAAACGCATCTGAATAAATAATGATTTTGTAAATACAAGATGTGATAAAGAAAAGAGTGAGTAACACAGTTACGAATGACGTTCACGATGACATTAATAGATAATTTTCACAACGCTAATTAACAACAAATATTGGAAATAAAAAAATTTCTCAAACATATAGCTAGTTTCCCGTGCGCTGTGAATATTTTGCAGAAATCAGCGACTCGATCCGGGGAGATTCGATGGGGTGATAGGCGCCATAGCAGGTTTACGGGTGAATCGGCGCGGCACAATGAACGAAACAAAAAACAGTGTAACAGACTTGTCTCGTTATTTTGCAGTCGGACATTCGCTTATTCGGGTTTTGCTATCGACCGGTCGCAACAATGAGAGGAGAAACGGCACGACGCGGCGCAGCGCGGCGACGGTACGGCTGGCAATTATCGCTCCGACTGCAAACTCATTAGTGCGCTTTAAAGGTGGCCGTTACGCCTTCGCGGAAGCACAGCGAGCGGCGAGAAGAAATAGAAACATATTTGCCGCGATAACGATGCCGCCTGCAAATCTCCTCCCGCGAGTGGCGGCCGAGGGACGGTGGCGGGAAGGGCGGCGCGCGTTATTAACGCCAGAAATAAAATATACGACTCTTTTGTGTCGCTCGGCGATTGCATTGCGACGCCGTGGCGGCGCGTCGCGCGATGCATCGGGCGAATTAATTACTCGCCGCGATGACAACTAATTAATTCGCCGACCAAGATGCACGGTTACCTCTCGCGCCACGCGATGCTCTTACTTTCCGCTAATTAATACGGCTTGTTACGTATATTTATTTTGCGCTATTAAGCCTGCTTAACGGAAAACATTTCTCGACAGCGTTTAATCAATATCCGAGATCCGCGCGAGCCTCGGGAAAGAG